CATCCCTTTCCCCCTGGATCATCCCTTCCCCCCTGGATCATCCCTTCCCCTCTGCATCATCCCTTTCCCCCTGGATCATCCCTTCCCCTCTGCATCATCCCTTCCCCCCTGGATCATCCCTTCCTCTATGGAGCATCCCTTCCCCACTGGATCATCCCTTCCCCCCTGGATCATTCCTTCCCCTCCTGGATCATCCCTTCCCCTCTGGATCATTCCTTCCCCTCCTGGGTCATCCCTTCCCCCCTGGATCATCCCTTCCCCTCTGGATCATCCCTTCCCCACTGGATCATTCCTTCCCCTCCTGGGTCATCCCTTCCCCTCTGGATCATCCCTTCCCCACTGCAATCCCCCTGGATCATCCCTTCCCCTCCTGGGTCATCCCTTCCCCACTGGATCATCCCTTCCCCTCCTGGATCATCCCTTCCCCACTGCAATCCCCCTGGATCATCCCTTCCCCTCTGGATCATCCCTTTCCCCCCTGCAATCCCTCCTCCCCTGCCCCAAGGCCTCAGGGACCGAGGTGACTTTTGCAATTCCCAAATGGAAGTGGGACCAAGCCCTTCCCTCCTGGCTGCCCCTGGGATGCATTTGGACTCCCCAGCCCTCTCCCAGCTCATCCCAGGGGGATTTCTCTCTCCCAGGGTGGCTTTATTGTCCAGCTCCAGCTTTCCCTGCTCAGCAGCTCCTGGAATCCTGCAGGCACAGGGAGCTGCTGGGCAGGGAAAAGCCCCTGGGAACGCCCAGCTCTGTCCCCAGCTCTGTCCCCAGCTCTCACCCCGGGCCCCAGGGAAGGCCCAGCAGTGCCAAGGGAAGCTCCAGACCAAGCATTCCCCATTTCCCACCCCACTGCCCGGCTCAAGCTGCCACAGGCACCAATTTCCCACTGTTTCCTTTGGAGCATCCCCCTCTCCCGTGAGCCAGGGCCTGTCCCAGGAGCTCCTGGCTGCCGCGGCGGGGACGGGGAAGCAGCTCCGGGTTGGTTTTCCCACCATGCAGCACAAACCCCACATGCAAACCCAGCCCCAAACAGGCAGCAGGGACGGGGACACGGGCGGGAAGCAGCTCCCAAGCCCCGGGGTTCCCAGCTGGAGGCACAGGGAGCGCGGCGTTACTCCGGGGTTACTCCGGGGTTACTCCGGGGTTACTCCCGGGAGAGGGGCAGGAGCAGGGATTAGGGAATGGCAGGGGGCGTTAGGAGAGGAGCTGGCAACGAGCAGCGCTGGGTCTGGTCTTACCTTCTGCAGGTGGAGTGCAGCCCAAAAAAAGGAGAGAAACACCCCTTTAACAACTTCAGCAAAACAACAAAGGAGTCAGCAATCCACACCAACCCCCCCCTTCCACCACCACACCCCAGGATCGGGGCATTCCTGCAGGATCCAGCTGCTTCCAGAACCTTCCCAGCCACCTTCCCCCCCGCAGCGGGAGCCAGGTGGGCGCTGGGGATGCTCCCCAGGAGGGAACACCGAGGAATGGGGATTTGCTGGCTCCTTCTCCCCCTCAGCACCGCTCCCAGGGCACACAGCAGCCCTGCACCCCAAACTCCCGGGGTTTCACGGAGCTGCCTGACCCCAGGGCCATGCCTGGGCTCTCCCAAGAGTGCAGCTCGGTGTGGAGCGCTCCCCACAGCCCCAGGGCACCCACAGCATCCCCCACTCTGCACCGAGCCTGCCCCAGCAGCACCCCGAGGGGAGCTCTGCCTGCACACCGGGGTCTGGGGGCTCCTGCTGGGTGTCCCAGAGCAGGAATGGGGGCACAGCTGAAGATGGAGTTCAGGAGCCACACTCTGGGCTCCTGGGGCTCCTGCTGGGTGTCCCAGAGCAGGAATGGGGGCACAGCCAGAGATGGAGTTCAGGTGGAGCACTGAGTCCAAGGGCCCCCGAGAAACCTGGGCATGGGGATCAGTCTGGAGGACACCACAAAGCTCTCAGAACCCCCTGAAGCTGCTCTAATGAACAGCTCTAAGTAAAGGTTTATCACCACTGAGCTGCAGGAACATCAGACTGGGATATGGTGAGTCCTGGCTGGGAACAAAAACCCTTTCCAGCCTTTCCATCTGTGGCTTTCAGGAAGCAGCCCCAGGATCCCAGAACTGGGGCCTTTCTCATCCTCAGGGAGTGAACCAGCAGCTCCTGATCAAAGATTCCTGTGGGGCCTGGAGTTCAAATGTCAGTGCTTTTGGGATCCTCTCTGTGTTCCCACACAGAGCCCCAAGGTACTGCAGAGGAACCCCAAGCTCAGGACACTTTTGAGGCCTCAGCTCTGGTGTTCCCAGCCGAGCTCTGAGGTTCCTCACCACCAGAGGGATCCAGCCCACACTTCTCCCCTCAGCAGTGAACATCCCTCTGCACAGCAGGGGAACTTCTCTGCAATTTCATCTCGGGGAAACAGCCAAAACTGCTACAAACAGGCTGGGCTGGGATGAGAGCAGGGGAATATTCTGTCACTTATGGGTTTCATGCCTCTGTAAGAGGGATATGCACAGAGTCACCCCATGAGCTCCTCCTACACACAATAATTGTATTTAATCCTCCCTGCCAGCGGCAGCAGCCCAACCTTTCTGTAGCAATGCTCCTGTTGAACTATTAAACTGCAAACCAGTGTTTTGCCCTACATTTATTATTTATGGATTCTACCAACTCATCTCTGCACATGTTCTCATGTTCTGCACAGCCACCGAGTGGTTCAGAAAACCAGCCCTTGTCCCCAGTCCCTCTCCAGCTCTCCTGGAGCCCCTTTGGGCCCTGCAAGGGGCTCTGAGCTCTCCCTGGATCCTTCTCCAGGTGAGCACCCCCAGCTCTCCCAGCCTGGCTCCATGGCAGAGGGGCTCCAGCCCTGGAGCAGCTCTGGGGCCTCCTCTGGGCTCTCTCCAGCAGCTCCAGGTGCTCCAGAGGAAGCCAAACCCCACTGTGACCCCTGGGGCCCTCCCAGGAACTCGGAGGCAAACACTGAACCATCCCACAAGGAAAATGCTTCCAACAAATTCCCCTTTGCCACTGGCAAAATGCTGTGGAAGAGCCACAGAATCCCAGCTGGGAGTAGGAAACCCTGCACAGGACAAGCCCAAGAGGCTGGCAGTGTTTTCATGGACATTTTACCAGACCCACATTCCAAAGCCATCACTCAGGGGGACCTGAGGTAACCCAGGCTGCTGATCCCTCAGGGAGAAGCGTCTGGACGTCCCTGTCCTACCCCAGACACTCAACATGAGCAACATCCAACCCCTGGGACAAGATCTCAGGCAGTCCCAGGAGCCAGGGAATGGCTGCCAGTGCCAGAGGGCAGGGCTGGATGGGATTTGGGGCAGGAATTGTTCCCTGGCAGGGTGGGCAGGCCCTGGCACAGGGTGCCCAGAGCAGCTGGGGCTGCCCCTGGATCCCTGGCAGTGCCCAAGGCCAGGCTGGACACTGGGACCCTGAATGGGATGGGATTTGAGTCCCCTTCCCACCCAAGCCAGTCTGGGATTCTCTGATTCCCTCTCTGTTCCAAACACCACCAGTGAAAAGGGAAATTTGGCTTCTGTGCCTTTTTTCCCCTCAAAAAGTGGTTCAAGAGTCAGTTTGGGTTTATGGCAGAAATTCCAGGGGTATTTGAAGTGAAGCAGGCAGAGCAAGCTGTCTGCTCTCATTTCAGACATGCAGTCAGTGCAGGTTATCTCCTTGTTTAACCATTATTTGGGCAGAACCAGCTCCTGTGTTTGGCCAAAGCTCCCAGGATGGTGCTCTACAAAAAATCCAAGGAAAAAATGGAGTGGTATTGGCTACTGAGAGGAAAAGCCAGCAGAGACACCTTCCAAAAAGCTCATTTCCATTAGATACTCTTACACTGATCCAACACCCCCCAGGGAGACCAAGGAAATCCAACAAAAGCTCCAATTTTTGATTTAGAAAGTGGCTCCTCCTCAGGCAGAAGTGATTTCCTGCTGCTGGCTCAGTGCCCAGCTATCCCATCAGCTCCAGAGCAGGGAGCATTCCCAGCTGGGAATGTGCTGTCCCTGGCAGTGCCACAACACGCCCAGGCTTCCCCAAGCCTCGATGCCAGCGCAGATAAAGCCAAAATCCGGGATGTGGGGCAGGTCCTGGAGCCACCCATGGGCGTTTTTCCATGGATTTCAGGCTGCAAGCAGCGGCCTGCAGGCTCCCCAGGGAGCAGCCTGTCCCAGCAGGAAAACTGGGAAAAGCGGGGGGGGACAGATCCCACAAAAAAGGGGAGTTTTAGCTTTGGGATGTCTTGAGGAATCCAGCCTCAACTCCTCCAAGTCCTGGGCTCACCTTTACAAAGATCACTGCTAAAATCCCCTGAGGAATGGGGTAAAATGCTGAATCCATGTGAGGTCAGCCAGGATCCCCCTGGCTTCTGCACTGCTACAGAACAATCTTGTGAGAGCCCTGCTCTTGTCCAAAAAATCCCCAAACTGTCCTGCACGTGGCAGAAATCCCCCATTCCCTGATTTTATTCCACATTCCACTGCAATTCCAAACCCTCCCCACCCGACCTGGTGCCTCCAAGTCCTCTGAGCTCTCCCCCCACGCCCTGGAGCTCCTGCCCAGGCTCATCCCAGGGATCACTGCAGGGAGATTTGTTTCCTGGCAAACAGGAAAACCACCCCAGGCTCTGGGAAAGCCACTTGTCACTTCCAAACCTGCTCTCAGCTCCCTGCATCCAGGATTTCCAAAAGCCTGATGTGAAAGGTGATGTTAACTCATCACCTCCAAGCACCTGAGGCTGCAGAATGGGGAGTTAAACCCACAACAAACACACCCCAAAGTCAAAGCTGGCTGGGTTTAAGGATGAGGTGCTCTGTGGGAATCCTTTGCTCCCAAATAAACCTCACCTGGCAGCTTTTATTCCCTCCCTGGCAGGACTCTTCCTTTCAGAAAAGCTGGTTTGTGTTAAACCCATCTTGTCATAGGCTGTGACTGACCAGAAACCCAACCCAGCACAAATCCTGGCACTGACTGCAATTTAATTGCTTCAAACATGACAGTTCCTCGGCTTTGAACCCAAAGAAAGCTTTATTACACCAAAATAAAGCTTTGCTACATCAAAGTAATGTTTAAAAGCAAAGATCCCTGCCCAGCATCCAGTGTGGCCAAGGGGAAGAGCCCAAATTTGAGTTTCCCACCTGGCTGCTCCCACAAACACCTCTGGGACTGGAGATCCTGGTGCTCAAGGCAGCTCCTTTAGAGAAGAAAACAACTCCCAGAGCTCAGGCTCAGCCCCAGATCAGCTCTAAAAGGAGGAGGTTGAGAAGGATGAAAGGCACAGCTGCATTTCTGCTCTGATTTTTTTGGCTGTTTGGTTCAAAATCTGCCCTGACCAGGCACAGACTGGATCTTCTGGGTCCCCCCTGGGCTCCTGCCTGAGGCTCTGCCCAAAACCCACTGAATTTTGCTAAGAAGGTTCATCAATGTCAGTGCTGGGTGTTTGCTGCCCCTGTGTTCTGCCACCAGCCCTGACCAGTGAGCTCCAGCCCTGACCAGTGAGCTCCAGCCCTGACCAGTGAGCTCCAGCCCTGACCAGTGAGCTCCAGCCCTGACCAGTG